TTAGAATACTGTTACCTCAATAAATCAAAACTTAATATTAATGAATGTGCATGTATATATTTTTACAGAAACAACATACCGTTACATTTTCAATACTCCCTGGGCAATAATATTATTAACAGAGTAGACCAAGTTAAAGATCTTGGAATCTATTTTGATACAAAAATGACTTTCAATCCCCATTTGTATTATGTAATATTTCTGCAGCAAAACCGTGGGATTTTTCTGCAGAATATGCAAAGACTTCAACAACGAGGCAGCAATCAAATCTATTTACTATGCATTTGTTCATAGCAAACTTAATTTCGGATGTGTCATATGGAGCACACATTATAATACACATAAATTACGATTAGAAAGACTACAGAACAGATTTGTAAGGTTCTTGCATTTCAAAATAACGAAGACTTATGTAACACTTGCCATTAGCGAAATTCGATCTCACTACAAAATACAGCTTCTAGAACAACGAAGAATAATAACCGACTTAGTTTTTATCAATGATTTTTATCACGTTCCTCGTAGGAACACTAGAAACAGAAAATTACTTGCCAGTCCGAATTTCAACACAAATTTGGGCCAAAAATTACTAAAATGTGTGATTCTTTCAACAGATATTGTAGTAGTGTAAATGTTTTCTCTATTTCGTTGAATTTCTTTAAAATTACGATGAAAAAAATATTCAACACATAGCAAAAATAATTGGAACGATACTGGCCAAAATCACTGGACCAAACACACCAATGAAAGGAGCTCATGCCTGCAAACATTTTTTTTGCGAATGTTTCGCCCTGTATTTGGTTTGGAACCCACCCAATACTTATTGAGTACCTTTCTGATATGTGTGTTCCTGCCTCTGAAGTGGAAATAATGTTTATTGAAGTTGAATTTACCGAAATGATATTAATAAATATACACTGTTATTGAAGTCATCCCTATAATCTTCATCAGCTTGAAGATGCCGACCACAAACTACCTATTAACTTAATAATCAACTCAAGAAATAGTGAAACAAATTGATGACTTATTTCTTGATGCCGTTCGATCTTCGGCGATTTCATAAAAAATATTGAGACTAGGTCTTTCTTGTTTCGGTCAAAATCATTGAAATTGATAAAAGTTATGGTAAAACCAATGGTAGCTCGTAAAAGTCATTACATCCTTTTCCATGATATTGTTTTTTTTTGGCAGCTAATTTCCAATTTATTAATTTTATCTACTATAACTTCAACCTCATATTTTTAAAATGGCCTGCTGTTTTTTTATAATCGAATCTTTTGAGCGAAAGCCAAGAAGACGAATAAACTATTGAAGGGATAAAATTATGGCAGATTTGATAAATGATGACATAGAAATGAATGGAGAACTGGGATAATCGATATTTTTACTCACCACTGATTGACACTTTAACTAAAAGTGATGTCAATGAATATTACTGTAGTTTGTCCCAACACCAAACCATTATTTTACCACCTCGACATGTGTTTCGATCACCAAGTAATCATCTTCAGCTTGATCTTCCTATTGATGATGATCACTTGGTGATCGAAACACACGTCGAGGTGTTAAAGTAACTGTTTGGTGTTGGGATAAAACTCCAGTAATATTCATTACTACACCAAAGGTTCCAAATAGTGCATCATAAAGTAATGTCACATGAAGTCACACGCCAAAACAAAATAGTGAACTGAATAGTTGCTTGTTGTTGTCGCTGTCCGTTTTCATATAGCGAACTCTGTTTACAAAAACACAGAAAGTTGATCTTTCCGCCTGCCGATGAGACATTTCTTTGTTGACAAAAACAGTCGTCCACGACACAGAGTTTTCAAAATGTTTCTTATTTTGACATCTCAAGTTTTTGTTTTGTCAAAGTCGACACAGTTGCTGTTTTGTTGTGGTTTTGTCCTTTTGGTGAAAATCCATTTCAAAACAATGCATCATTCTTCATAATGACAACTCCAACTTCCACAGTGTACATCGAACCATTGATTGCAATATATAATAATATAAACTTTGAAAACATCAGCGAATAGGAAATCTTGATTGCAGCATGAAACTAAAAAATAAGTTCAGTTCTGGTCATGATAAGGTACTATCCTTTTTGGTAAAAGATTGTATCGGTGTATTGGTCTATCCCTTACTGACACTTTAAAATCTTGCAGTTAAAAATAATAGTTTTCCTGAATTATGGAAAATATCACGAGTTTGTCCCGTTTTTGAGTCTGGAGATCCATCTGATATTCGAAATTATCATCCTATCTCAATCCTATCGAACTTTGCGAAACTTCTCGAAATTGTCATCTATACAATCGCGTACATTCCTCAGTTTGTAATATCATATCACCGAAAAAATTTGCTATTGATGGCTACCAACAAATATTAAACAACGCAGCGTCTTCAAACTTCAAAGATGTGCTTTTTGAACAACTACCGCCATCTCTAGGTCAGACCAGGTACTTCTAGGACCACCCTCGTTAAAGGTATACCTCGTAATTTGTGCATAGAAGGTAACGGATTGATTATAGGAGTCCTCAGTTCATCTGCTGATGATGCTTGATTGGTAGTGAAACGGTTTCTCATTCGGCGATCGACTTCTTAGCTTAGGCTCCTATCTCATTTTTTCACTCTGCGCGGCAATCTACCAAAGCTTCAACATTCTCTAAAGTTACCTTCGGAAAATCAAAATCTTTCATTTGAATAGCTCAAGTTATTTCTACCATCAAGTACATAAAAAGTATCCTTCACAAATGAATATGAGGTTAATTTAGAAAGATAAATCATGTAGGCTCGATAAGATATATAATTATTCTACCTGCATACGGGTGGTAATAATTTCTTGTTATGTGCTGAATCTGTTTTTCAGTTGTTCATTTCATTCTCCAGCATACATTTGCCGGTAACAATTTATTTATCGAATAGGTAGTTTTGTCCTATGCATGTCTTACATAAAAGGATGAATAATCATAATCGATTCTATATAAGAGTATTTATTTTTTGGTATTGATTTCAAAACAGACTAATTACGAAATAGAAAATTCTTCAAGGAAAGAAGAAACAAATACGATATTCATATGAAATCTTCTGAAAAAGTTGATTGAAACATTTGATTAATGTTATGTTGAAAAAACTTCTGAATGAACCTGTATAAAGTGAAGCAAGCGCCAAACGTGATGGAGAGCTATCACGCAGGTATAGACTCTCCCAACTAAATCACTATTGGATTACGATAAGCCCTTTCCGGCCAGTGTCGTACCTATAATTAGTTTTAATTAGGGTAGCAAGTGGAACATGACTTCTTTGTTATTTCTTTTCTTATCTCATTTAGTATTATAGGTAGTAGCACAGTTCATTGAAATGTTATGTAATGATAGGTACACTCTTGATGACTGGTTTTTTGTTAGACGATGACGTTTTTTTTATAAACAACACAAATTATACAGACAATGCCAAACGCCAACAGCATAGCATTTGCATGTCTTGCAAGAGCTGTGGTGGGGGCTACATTGAAAATGACTTTGCACATGGGGGCTGTAATAACTTTAATATTCGCATGCCATCTTCTGACCAATAGCGAAACTAATAGTACATTCTCGCTCTCGTTTTTCAAACTGGCAACCTATTATCTTCGAATTTGGAAAACAGGTGGAGCCATGTGATGGATTTGAATTGAATTTATTGACTTTTTTCTACATTTTTCTCGTCTACAAGCATTCACCAACCTCACCTAAAAAAAATAGAATAGATAATAGTTCTGATTATAAAAGTCCTTGGAAAAACTGATTTCACAAAAATCGTACAGAAATTCATCACCTTTGTTATATAGGTAATGATCACTTGTCCAAAACTGAATATCATTCCTATTTTCATGTCCCATTTTTCATACGGCATTCGATTAGAAAAGATACCAGTTGTAATTAGTATATAAATTTATTAAAGCAGTACAAGAACTTTTGGCACACTACCCTCTCTCCACTTATCATTTTTCTAAGATTTTTCACGTGCACCACCTACCACCTGATGGCATAAAAAGCTGAAACTCATTTTCTACTTCAGAACTAAGGAAATTATACACTTTTCAATAGTATCCATGAATAAGTCAATAAGTATGTAGGTTCCTCATATTTGTAAGCGAGGCTATATGTAGCTGCTACTGTCTCCAATCAGGCGGATGGTTCTTTTCTGGATAGAATCCAGCAGCTTCAGGGTATGCTTGGAACATGAGAACAATACTCCAAAGAAGGTCTGATCCGAGGTTTATAAAGCATCGAAAGTTGCTGAGGTGTGTAGAGTTTCCTGGTTCAGAACAGTGTTCCGAAGTTTTAGCAAAAATTAGAGTACCCACATGCAACGATTGATCACTTCTTCACAATAGATCTACTGTAATTCTTTTTTTTGGTTGTAAAAACTATTTGACAATAAAAGTATCTGTCCGATTTTAAAACAGCAACCTACTACTCTAGATCATTTTTCCTGCAAATTATCATCAAGTCTATACTAAAAAATCAAATAATAATTCCAAATTATGAATTGAAAACGCTTTCAAAGTGCACAAAATATCAAATATCTCTATCAATTCCAGTTAGATAAGGATAAAATTATAGATTATAAGACCTGCAACTTATATTGGAATTACAATTGATGACACTCTCAGCTGGCAATATCATAGTCAAAAACTGAACAGCGAGCTTTCCAGTACAATATTTCTCTCAAGAAGATTGAGATATGTTGTAAGTACCGAATCACTCAGGCAAATATATTTCCCTTTGTTTCACTCGCGTATTAGCTATGGAACCATTCTATGGGGAAATTCCAGCAATGCGCTAAACATCTTCAGATCACAGAAGAAAGCTATTCGTCTTCTGGCTGGAGTTGGACCGAGAGAACACTGTCGTTTCCTCTTTACTGACATGAAAATAATGACACTACCATGCATTTACATATATCAAACCCTTTGTGAAATACACTCAAACAAAGGAAACATATCCCATTAAGTAAAATTTTCTCAAAATATTTCCTATCCAGTTTCACTGACCTATATAAATGAAAGGTTCGTCCTATCTATAACTATATGTGCATGGAGTAAAACAAATGAAATGATTATGAAGTATAGTGATTAGTTATATTCTGAGTCATTAAATAAAGTTGTTAATTTTGGGCGGGCCTACCAATTAGTATTAAGAACTCACGAATACGTAACGGGGGCAATGAAACACAATTGGCATAAGAAAATCACTAAATGTCAATAAAATCAAATTCAGGATCATATTCAACTCTAAAATATGTTGAATTCAAATAATGCATAATGAGAACTTCAAAAAAGTGAATCTCTTTCAACTCTTTTGAACTAGAGTACATTATTTTCAGCATAACAATAGAGTGTGCCTCAAATACCTAATACACTGATTGAAAATACAACCTGTTGAACATTTTCACAAAAACATTTTTATAATGGTGTAGTAGTGGCAATTTTTTCTACTTACACCAAAGTCAAGGAATAACATTGACAATATTACTAGTTTCGCCATGTGTTTCACTAAACCATTCCCAATATTCTGTGAAATTTGTTGTTTCCATTCCTGCTGGTACCATTTTGAGTATTCCTCATGCACTCTGAACATTTATAGAAAAAGACAATACGATAAGGTAAATAAGATATGGTGGAACGAAATATATTGATCATTGTTCTGGAACTAAAAGAGAGGGGGCTCTATGAACGGAACCTGAAAGTTCTTCTTAATGGCATACCTCACATAGAAGTAAAATGTGATGTATGACAAGTATACATGGCAACTATTATTTGACTGCTACTAGTAGAAAAAGCATCAGCTACAAACTGTCTGAATCACAAATCATTACAGTATGGTGCCACATATGGTGCCTTCATTTATAAATATTACATTTGACAAAGTTGTTCCTAATTACTTCAAACAAATGGGGAATGTCACTAATGTTTTCAAATATATTTTTAAAATATTCATTATTATTGAAGAGCTTCATGTTCTGTCCCAGATATTTTGTCTTCCTGTTACCATCAAGGGTTTTAATAGTCTTCCCACTATTAATATCCTGCATCCATTAATAGATACGACTTTTAGACTAGCTTCTGTAGAACTTCTAATAATTGTTTTGGTTATTAATACTAATCATAAATTTCTTCTTATTTTGACAATTGTCATTCGACTAATTCATGCGACATCTGTCGAATATCAAAGTGACTGAACCTTTAGTGGAAGCTGTTTAACTTTGTTTAACTTTGCCAATATACGAGCTCAAACAACCCTATTTGTTTTGTTAAGTTGCAAGAAAATGACATGAAACATACTTGCAGAGCTGCCAACGGTAAATAGTTCCTATGGAAATGCTGCCCTCTATCTGAGAAATCGAAATGTATAGTATTTATTTCATAGGAAAGCATAAAGCAGTGAGCAATATATATATATGGTTGGTTTTATTCAACTAAGTTTAATAATTACTTGAACGTTCTTCAAAGTTTGCACAACCTGAGACAAAATGTTTCAGATTGAAAATAATTAATTTTGAACAAACCAAGGTTTTAGGTTAAAGCAAGAGAAATTTCCATTTGCTGTTTTACCGGACGGAAGATACGATTGATAGGAAGGTATTCCGCTAGACATTTTCAGAGTAAGTAAGTACCTAAGCAGTTTGTCATTAGTTAGTGTATAATTGAAAATTAACTTCACATGTACCTGTTTAATTGAGATGTACTAGACTGATTGGTTTTGCATTATATTGTGCTTGTTTCAATTTTAGAGCTTTGCTAATATAGGTACCTATTATTTCTAAATGTATTCAAAACTTGTATTGATCAGGAAAAAATATTTTATGGTGATTTTTTGTTTGATTAAACCTTTTTTGGTAGTCTACTTTTCCATTATTATATACTCCATGATCTTTTATCTTGTAGCATTTGCTATGATATCTATTTGAAAAGCCATTACGATTGAGAAAGAAAAGGGACGTAGTTGTTTCCTTTGATATCATAAAGTTTGTATCTGAAAGAAACATTTGCCGATGTTTCGTATAATAGTGGAGTAGTAACAAGCTAAAGAAAGTATTCTATCACTCCGTTCTTAATAACCATTTCAATCCATCAGAATGTCGGATCCAGAGATTATTCAACCCTCAAATGGTAGCGAAAATGATGAACCGAGCAAACCTGGATCACAAGCGCCCATCGAGTCTGCTGAAAGTATTCGGGATGATGTTATAGGATCTACAGCGAAACCTGAAATTTTGGCAGAGGTGTCAGAAGAGGAGTCTAGAGATCAAGAAAATCATGAAAAAACAAGTGAAGATGACAGTTCCGAGCAATCAAATTTGAATAAATCAAGAGAGTTGAAGTTGTTACTAGCTCTGTCAAAGGAAGCCAATCTAGACACTAATATATCACACAAAAGGAAAGTAATTGAAGGTAACAAAACTAAAGAGACATCGTTGTTAAAACATTCTTCACTTGAATCTGATATCAAAATAGCAAAAGTGGCTACAGAAAATAAGTGTAACTTCAAATTCCCAGTCACTGCAGAAGCTGAATTAGAGGAGGAATTCATAAAAAACGATTCAAACATAAAAAATGAAAATAGCCATAAACTGAAAAGAAAAAGAAATAACTCAGGTGAGGTTAATGTAGGGGGCGCCACAGATGACTCTAAGAAGAATATGAAGACATTTTCTGGTGATATAAAGATGTTCAAGGTGAGCTTTTGAAAAAATAATTTTTTATTATCACTAAAATAAAATAATTTTTGTTAACTAGTTGATGAACATTTGACATTCTGACCTTGATATATACCTTTTATTTCATGTAACCTTAAAAGCCATGAATATGATTATTTTTGCAAAATCATTTATTTATTGACTATCAATATGAACTTTATCTCCTGTTGGTGACCTAGAGGTTGAGATCATGATTTGAAAATGATCTCATTACACTATTCTCATTTCTCTTCTTGGATGATACGGTTATAACAATAACTTAGGGCTATTGTATACAAAGTATGGTTTCTCCATCACCCATTTCCTTATTTTTGTGCCTGAGATCAATTTTCTCTCAAGATTAGCATCATTCACGTTTTCTGTTGAACTTCTACTTAGTAAACTTGTTTTTCCAAGTTCGTGCCAATCCATGTGACTTGTCGATTTCAAATCTACATGTATTTCCATGTTTCTTTCAACTTCAATGTCTTCATTTCCAACCCTTTCAAATGTTCAATTCCCACAGTCTCTTTCCATTGAATCCATTTTCACTGTTCTTGGTTTATTTTTGTAAAACTCTGACATTTTGAACTTCCGAGTTGTCAGTCAGGTTCTAAATGGAAGGAGTCAAGGACTCATCTATGAAAGGATCCCTTTTTCTATCTAGCAAGTAGGCATATATTCCTAACTACATATTACTTTGTCAAAATATTAGCTTTGCTGAACGATGTAGGTCGGTGGACTCTGTGATCTTAGACTACTATCGGAGGATAAGTATTCTATGAAAATGAATATCGTCAATAATCTATTTCATTAATTTAAAGTTGCAGTTGATATCCTTCCTTTATTGATTCTCTCATGAATGTTATTCTTGTACAATTATAATAATAAAGTATGCTTTAATGTCTCAAGATGCTGAAATAATTGTTCCTCTATCATTTCACCATATAATTAATACATATCCAAAGAAATGTTTGTGTAATAAGGTTGTTAACATACAGACAACGTTATAGATGCAGAGCATTCATAGTAGAACACATAAAACAGATTCGACATTTCAAATAATGATTTTCCACAGCTTCTTTCCTTGAAATCCATCACTATTGCTCTTGGTTTATTTATGTTGAACTTTGTGACATAGGATTCGACTTCGTGAGTAGAATGTAATGAGTCTTTTTGTGTTCTTTGTTGAAAAACAATCAAAAATATATTCTACAATGTCTGCAAAAGAATCCTACTTTCAGTCTAGCAAGTAAGCTTACATTCTTAACCACTAATGCTATTGATTATGTCTGTAATTTCATTCATCTGGTGTTACGATTATAAGGTTTGCTTTATTTTTCAAAAAACTTATAGTAAACACTACGTAATTGATACATTAGTCAAGAAATTATCAATATTTTTAATGTCAGCTAAAATTCAATGTGATAAACTCTTTATGAAACTCTTGTATGCTGTAATAGCTTACAATATAAGTCTTTTAGGCGGATCCTAAAGTTATACCTATCGTATCCTATTTTTAATAAGTCTTGGTAAATTTCTGTCAACAGAAAATGTTCGGCAATACATTTTTTCCATTGCATCAATTCTATCTATGTTGTTAAATTAAGAGTTGGGATCTGCAACAGGAAAAATTATGTTGTTGATTTTTCTAGCAAAATAAAGATGCTTTCTGTTGGAGATGTCATAGAGAGGGGGTCAACGTTGCTTGTGAGACTTGTCCCAGATCATATCATCAAAAATGTTTGAAGCAAACCATAGACGATCCAGATCACTGGCCATGTCCAGAATGTGTAGCTACCTTGAAAGCAGATACCACTCATACAAGGTGAGTTTTACAATCCGGTTTCTATAACCATCCTAACATGCAAAACATTTTTGATATTTTTCTCATTGTGAAATCTTTTCAGGTCGGAGGCAATGAAAGGATTGCCATCGGAACACCTCTGCAAACTTCTTAAATTTGCAGCTATGCGAATGATACAATGTCAGGGGGTGAGTTTATTGGTTTTAAAATTAACAGTGTACTTGATTCTGGTACATGTGAAACACGTAAATTCACTAGTCTCGTACATTTTCTTCACATAAAAAATATTGAAACTGAAATTTCAAAGTACACTCATAAAATGTATGTCAATAATAATAATAATAATACTTTATTGAAATAGACAACCTAGTATACAAATATAGACTGTTGTGAGCATGGGCTTTTAGAGTAGTACTTTTGATAGATTAAACGGTAGCAGAGAGCATCTCATTAATAACTTTACATTAAAATAGTTAGTTGCCTTTCATTATACTGCGCACCAACTATGATAAGATTTTGATGCGCATTCAAAACCAAATTGTACCCGCCCCAGAAGATTGCTATTGGTCACACAAACTAATGTCTATAGTACATTGGCAAAATATGACTTAACCATACAGGCTGTCTCCAGAGTGGTGGAACACATAGTGCAGGGCCTTGAAAGCGGTCGCCGGACATCCATAAGCCTGCGCGATCTTAGCAAGGCCTTCGACTGTGTCAAACATGAACTGCTGATCAGCGCTATGATATCAGAGAGGTACCTTTGAAACTTTTTGAATCATATCTACAAAATAGAAACCAGTGTGTTAGTGCAAATGGAAACATTTCTAACTTAGAGCCTATAACTCACGGTGTTCCTCAGGGATCCGTTCTGGGTCCACTTTTGTTCATTGTTTATATCAATGATTTATAAATATTACTGGAATTTTTTCCCAACACCAAATCGTTATTTTTAACACCTATGTTAACACCTGTTACTACACTACGCACACATTACTACACCAAAGGTTCCAAAACAGTGCATCATAAGTATCAATGATTTCTTTTAGCACATGCAATTCAATTACGTGCATACTATTTGCTGACGATTCAACATTGGTTCACTCAACTCCTTCAGATGTGTTCCCATCGTGTAGAGAGAAAAGCAGAAAACTGGTTATCTGCAAATTACTTGAAGCTGAATGAGGCTAAAACAAATCGTCTGAATTTCTCAATGAATAATCACATGGGAAAATATGTGTGTTGGTGTGTCTGGTGTGTCTGGGTGTTGATCTCGATGATATCCTAAATTGGTCGAAACATATTGAATCAATTTGCTCCTAATTGTCTAGTGTGATCTTCATTATAAGACAACTGAGGAAAGTGGTTAGTGATGATGTTCTGTTGAATACCTATTACGGACTCTTTCACTCTAGCATTTGGTACAATATTGTGGGGCAGTTCCACCAATTCACCAGAAATTTTAAAAAAAGGGGGGTTAGAACTATTGCGTTTGCAGATTACAAAAACCAATATAGGCCACTATTTCAAAAGTACGGTATTATGACATTACCCTGCTCATATATGTATCAACAACTAGTAGAAATCCATAAATATTCACTAAATTCAAATTTCCATCACTACCAACCTCGACATGCAGATCAAATTAGACCTATAAGATACAGATTGAATAAAGCTATGAATAACTCTCCCAATATAATTCTTTATAATCACTCCCCAATTGTTTCAAACAAAAAATGAAACAGTTCCTCATCAACTCAAGTTTCTACACTATTGTAGAATATTTAGACACCCTCTTTCAAAGTTGTTAATGTCTTGATGTGTTTGATTGTTCATGGTGTATATCATAGTGTTTTTGACTGACTCTGTGATTCTTTTCTTTGAAATATATCTATTTAAATACAATTTTTGTAATAAAACTTGCTACGAATGTAAACTTGCATGAACATTGTCAAATAAAGTATGTCTATGTCTAAGTGGGCGGAGTCTTGTAACACAGAACAATGTTACGTTTCTGTGCTGACTCATCTTAGTTGGTGCGTACTACACCCACATATATACATGCATTCATGGCTCAATGGGGAAAAATAAAATGAAGGTAAAAGGCCTTGATTTGAGTAATTGCAAGAGATCAAGTGAATTGTATAAAAGCTGAAATAAATTCAATTGAACTGCTGTATCATTTGAAAATGATTTCAAGCATAAATTGATGGATGTAGCCGTTACTATGTGGTGCAGTTACAATAACATTGTAATTGTTTGAGTAACAGTAACAACATCAGTTACAAATGAAAGTGGTTAAAAAACAGAAAGTTTTTTTATTTATCATTTTTCATGATTTCCAGCATAAGTCATGCACAATTATTGAATTGAACACTTTTTTTAAGACAAAAGTTTTTTGGCTTTCTACTCATTCATTTTTATACAAAAAATGTAAAATTCCTGAATTTATACCCCAAAAAAGCCAAAAAAATAAAAGTAAACTAAAATATTTAGTACCTATACAGTAGATTATTTTGTATAAAAACGTAGCAGTAGTAACTGATAAAAAGACTAACAGAGAGAAGAATGATGAACAACTTAGTTGGAATAATAGTGTGCTTGTTAAAATTGAGATAAGGGGCATTTGAAGAGTTGAAGGAGCATATCGGTCAGGGGCGGCTTCAGGTTCGTTACAATATAATAAATTTATATACATATTGGAGTACATCCTGTTATAAGTCTATATGTACAATATTTCGATTAAAGTTTACCTTATGATGCACTGTTTGGAACCTTTGGTGTAGTAATGAATATTACTGGAGTTCCCCAACACCAAATCGTTATTTTTAACACCTCGACACGTGTTTCGATCACCAAGTGATCATCTTCAAAGAGGAAAATTAAAACTGTTTTAATCTTCCTCTTTGAAGATGATCACTTGGTGATATATATCCATTTTTTAAAAGTTAAGAAAACAATAACAGTCATTATAACACAGTTGTCAGCAATGTCAGATCATTGGTCATATGTTTCAGTTTTCTGGGTGTGCTTACTTTAACTGGTCAACTAGTCGTATATTTACAGGCAATGCAATTTGTGTTGTGCAATCTTGATTGGCCCAACTGTTTGAACAATAATTGTAATGTGTGTGGTGTTGTAGTACAACTAGTCATAGGATATGTTTCAACCATAATCGAAGGAAATCATAATCTTCATTTGAATTTCCTGTACCCAAATATCTCAACCTGATAGTTAATCTTTCTTCCTTACTAATTGTATCTCTCATGACTGCATTTTGTTTCAAAATTTCTGGGCTTACTAAGCCTAATACATTATTGAATGAATTGCCATCTATTCCCAGGTCTTTCCTAAAATCTATGAGTTTTCTGGTGCATAGTTGATCAAGTTAATTATTATGTAGCATCATCTTCCAAAATTACCCAACTACTAGAGCAGCTATTATTATATTTGTATGTTGTTATCATACTACCAACTTTGTAAAATGTTGTATCATACTACCAACCTTGTAGTATGATGACAACATACTAGACCTAAAGCAAATTCAAATCCAAGAGTGGATGTAAACATTGACATGCCCTACGCACGTGATATTGAAAATCCCAAGAATTGGCCAGGGTCGTATTCAGAACCAACATCTTGCTGTAAAACTTGGCAATAAAACATCTTCATTTATTTCTGTGAGTACTTTGTCTATTGTGGGTATTTCATTTCTGAAAAAGTACTCATGCACTTTTCTCCTGATTGCATGTTTATCAGCATCATCTATTGATTTTATAATGGTTTGACGATTATTATTTATTTAAACACATAGGTAATTACATAAAATTGTTATAGTAAGTGGCGCTACCTGGTGTCAATGGTAAAACTGATTACATTGTCTTATTATGCCTAATACAGTACTTCAAAAAAACAGAAAAATTCACAAAATAATTATTATGTTCCTTTTATATAGAAAGAAAACTACAAAGCAAAAAATAATTACCTATGTTATGCTTATGAAGTTTCTGAATCCATTGACTCGTTTGAAGAGGAATCCCCAGTCACACTTAAATCTATTATTATTTGGTCAAAAACAGTGCCTACCATCCCGTTCAATCTCCACATTTTCTCTTCTTCCTTGATCACATGGGCTACAGCATTAGCCCAATCTTCTTTCCGTATCCGTTTCATTGCGAGTTCTAATAAACGTTGGACATCAGAAATTTTATATGTCACGTTTTCACGAGCTACGTAACCCTTAATTTGAGCTCAGATCAATTCTATTCGGTTTAACTCGCAATGGTAAGGAGGAAGTCTCAAAATGGTGATTCCTTCAGCACGAGCTATTGTATCCACCACATGCTGGCGATATCTGTCACGATACTGTTTAATGACACTCATAAGCTCGTCCTTAACCATGTCCTCGGAAAATGGAATTCCTTTTTGTCCTAACTAACTCTGTATGTCTGCTTTTCTGGTGGTCATAGTAACCATTACTATTACCTAATTTGGCTCGACTCTAAAAGAAGGGATTCCATCCTTCAAAGCGTTGGGCGTCCATGTCTCCGTTTTTTTGATAATGAAATTAGGCCACTATCGTCTAAAAAGCCACTCTCGCTACCTATATGGGCGGCAATTAGTCGTTGCCCTTTACCTGTTGGTCCGCGTAACGCTGTTGATAAACCGTCCACAAATGCTTGATGACAACTAGTTAGAGTAGTATCTTGCCAGATCTTAGATACTGTGTGACCAACATTCACCCACGTTTTGTCCAGATAATTAATCTTTTTGTGAGCAGAACGCATAGAGCGGAGATATCTCCGTCACCATGAGACTATATCTTCTCTTTCTATTAAGACATATTTACGGGATCGTTTGGCATATGTAAATTTTAAATTTTCTTTTATTATGTTCTTCAACTTCTCTTTGCTTATCCTAATGGATTCGAGGGTTGGTGCTTTATTCTCAAAAAAGAAAGAATGAATGATATAGCGTACAAAATTTTTCTGGTACTCGTCCAATTCAATTTTTTTTCTACCACGACAATGTACTTTTGGAGCTTGCACAATCCCAGTCACCTTTTTTTCACGTACAATGCGTTCAATTGTCGACACGGATATTCCCGTTAAAAATGAACACTGGGCTACAGCTTCCACTGTACGGAGTGTATTTTTTAAATTTTCGTACACTCTACAGACAATCTGTT